ACAAAATAGTCATGGGGATGTAAAGCAAAGCATAGGGAATATAGTCAATAATATGATAATAACGATGTATAGTGCCAGGTGGGCACTAGACTAATCAGGGGGATCATTTCGTAAATTATATAAATGCCTAACCACTATGCTATACACCTGAAACTAATATAAAATAATACTGAATGTCAAAAAAAGTTCTGAAGTAATTTAAAGATGTAATTATGGAACAAACTTACCACTGATAACTTTGAAAAATATTCTGAAATGAAGGGAAGAGACAGAAAACCAAACATCAAAAATCCTCGTTTCAAAAAGATGGGTTCCAGACAGATCAGACCACCCAGTAAGACGTGGATTCCTAAAAACGTTACAGATGATTTAGACAGGTGGTTTGTGAGCCTGTGGAAAAGAACACAGTGATCACTGGAAGCTAGCATGAGTTCACAAGTAACACATTGTGTTGTACTAGTATTTTTTTCTGACAGAATCATTGGATTAGTCACTAAAATACTGTAAAAGTAGTATAGCTTGATTTTAGCAAAACCAGGTTATGTGGAAAGGAGGAATATGGGTTAAATGAGAATATAAATAATGCATCTATTGACCTGAAAGAAGATTTCTAATAAGAGTGCCAACTGTATCGTGTGCATTGTTTAGCCAACTTGGATAAAGATACAGAAGATATGTCTGAGGGTGACAAAAAGCTGGGAGCAATAGCCAGTATGATTATTTCTATAGTGCAAAACCATAGGCTGAGCCCAACAGGAATAATATTAAGTTCTTCATTTGGGTTTTTCACTGGCCAGACAGTGGTTAGATGAAATAAGCCTGTGATTTTAGTTACCTGCAGGTTTGCTGTGGGCCAAAGATGGGATGCAGCTACTTACTGAAAGAAAGCACTTAAGTCACATTGAGCTGCATGATCACAGTAACATACCTGGTGTTCCAGATGTGCATGCACCACTGCAAGGAGCTGTACCCTTGTGCACATCTCTTATTTAACCCCTACAACCATATTCCAAGACCGTACAGTTGGGGGACAGAAGTTCAGAAGGCTAAATGAAGAAATAAACTGTGCCAAGTTCGTGCAGCAAGTCAATAGCCCAGCCAGGATTCAACCCTAAGTCTTTGCAATGCTTTGTCCTGTTGAGACCACTACACCAATGTCCAGGGGCCTTGGTCATCCCACATCAGCAGAGCTGCACTCAGTTTTCAAGGTTACTCTCAAGGCCATGTCACAGGGGAAACTTCTGAAGAACTAGAACAAATCAGCCTGGAAAAGATGGAAGAGGGAGATGTGATGTGGCCTGAATGCATTATCATGACTTACCAGACCTCTGTGGGTCCTGTCCCTGCTCACCCCTCAGTCTTGTATCCATCCACTTCCCTGCATGGCCCCTGTCCTCCTAAATCCAGTCCTACCAACCTGCTGGCAGTTGTCTGAAGCTCCCCTTCTGTCACACCTTGAGGTACTGCACTTGTTGTTTCAGCCTCCTCATGGCCCACCGCTTTCACCTGGCCAACTCCACCCTATCCTACAGATCTCAGCTCCCTCTGTGAGGCTGCCTCCTCGGACCATGCCTGCTGCAAGCCCATTTCCCTGATGCAGGGGATCTGTCAGCTGAAGCTCCTTCAACAGATACCCCAGCACATTTCCTGCTTGATGACAGTGTAACTCACCAACCCTTACGGAAGGCTCAAAAACAAAAAAAGCTATTTTAAACGCCCCTACAAATATGAACTATATTATCAAAAATTAATTTAATGAATCTAAAATACCACCATGCATAGATACTTTCATAAGGGGAATTTAAGGTTTTGTTTTCTAGAACTTCTAAAAAATTAGTGCACAAGTATCTGTACCCCAGGAGAGAACAAAAACTTTGGCAGCAACTGCAGGAGGCAGATTCCCCTCAAAACAGTGACTTTCCACTTTCTTTCTCTAATACTGTCAGTGGGAGGCTCTACTTTTGTTATTGTTCCATGTCTTCTGAGATGTGGTTCTTTAACTCTATTTTCAAAAGACCCAAGTCAGCAATGAATTGCAAATTAAGAATTCTGAAAGGGCCTAGCTGAAAAAGGGCAGGGAATATGACAAATCAGTGTGACAGAAAAGATCACCACTCTAGTTTTGGAGTTACTAAAATGGCACCATGTTGGGGGAAACTGAGTTTGTGGAACTACATGTTCCTTATGATCAAGTCAGTGAAACACCACATTCTCTATCTGCCAGTCGGCACCCATCTAGTCAGGATGCAGCTTGATAGAGAAAATGCCTTCCCGAAGACTACAAACCGTGGGCAATGCTATAGTGTCCAGCCCCAGAAGGTGTCTATATTTAGTCTATGTTTTGTGTCGCCAGAAGAGCATGGTTTCCTATAAAGTAAACCATGAAAAGCCAAGATTAAACGTAGCCTAGTACCCAGTGTTATCAGACAGTGCTCTGTTTAAAGTACTGGCCTGTGATCTGCCAAGACTCCTCAGAAAAGCCATACACGGTACAATTCTCCTCTCCCATCCTGATTCAAATGATATCTTAATGGACAGTAAACAGCAAGCTTTATGAACAAGCAGAAAAGAGGAGATGGAGATATGAGGAGGGGTGTAAAGATTGAGAGTTTTATACTTTTCAAGTAGAACTGCACCCCAAATCCAATTTTAGCCATTAGTCCAACAGTAAGTTAGAAATGACCTTCAGAAGAGTGAAGTGGGGAGGGGAAGGCAGAAGTTAACTACCTTTTGGACGCGGCTGTGGATATCAAGGGTTTTCTTCTTGAGCTTGCATTTTTTATTTATACCACTGCCCTGTGGTTAGACCCTCTTCTGCCAGTCTTTAGTGTACACACTGCTTTTCCTCTGTTCCTAGGTGTTGAAAGTAACCTTCAGGATGACAGAAAAGCTTCCTTCAATCCAATGCTACAAAAGTAGCAAACATTGTCCAACATTTACCATGTTCCCTGCATACTGTGAGGGAGGGGAAATTTCTTAAGTAAAATAAATAAAAATTTCCCTGAATAGAAGTAGGCTCCAAACTTCTGATCAAACACTAACAGCTCCCAATATTGCCATCCACTTTTGAATCATGTTGTTAGAAAGTGTTACCTTATATCAAGCCAGCATCTCTTAATGCAACTTATACCTGCTGCTCCTAGTATTGTTCCTTACCAAGTGTGTTGCCCATATCTTCAAATATTCAGTTTTACTTTTTACCCCTTCAGTTCTTCCTTTATGGCTTCCAGGTCATTTCAGCAAGTTGACTCCATGGCACTGCTCACACTCCAATTTGTCTAAGTCCCTTTAAAATGAGACCCAGAAACTAGATTGTGGACTATGAGGGATTTTATCATATTACCACTGTCCAAACATCAAGCACATTAGCTCTTCTCTCTATGCCATCCTCATTACCCATTACCACAAGGACAGGCGGCAGCTGTCCAATAAGCATTAATTGGTTGTGATAAAATGTTGTGGCAAGGAAATACATGACAAATCTGTTCAGCCAGTCCTTACAGCTAAGTTTACAAAACTGTAGACTCAAGTAACTTCAAATTGAATTTGTATTTGCTCCACAAAAGCCTACTTAGATCACTCAAACAGAAGAGCTTCTTGTACCTCACTGCCCTGAGCTAGGGGAGCTGACCAGGGGTTTGTATGCAATGGTTTTAAACCTAGAGGTGTAAACTATCACGGATTATAATGGACCATCTGTGTCAGTTCAGAATAAAGTAATCCAGGAAATCCCTTCCCAACTTCATATTCTAAGTACTTGAATGTACACTGGAGATGCAATTTGAGCTTTTTATTTTTTTCCCACATTTTCTAATTATGTTTTTATTTGAAGTAGAGAACTAGGTCACACTAGAGGAACTCGAGTTATAAAAGTCAGAGATAGAGTTTCAGCATTATAAAAATGCCTAAGGAGGGCCAGCCGAGTGGCACGTTGGTTAGGAGTTGGCTTGGGACGCCAGCTCTGAGCAGCGGGGTCCCAGTTCAAATCCCACATATGAGGGCCAGTGACGCTGCGCCCTCTACAGCTAAGATGGTGAACCACAGCTCAACCTGAAGCTGGGCTGCGGTGAGTCACTGGCAATGGCACAGGCTGCAGTGGGGCTGGCCAGCAGTTGTCTTGTGCTTTCGTGAGCTGCTGTGAGCCGCCATGAGCGACCGTCCAATGGCTGGCGAGCGACCGCCTCACCCAGGAAGAGTGCAATGATAATATCAACATAGGCCAGTGATGCGACATCCTCCACAACTAGTCTGAAGAACAAAAGGACAGCAACTTGTCTGTTCCCCTTCCCCAATTCCCCAACGCTGTTCCCTTCCCCGAATTCCCAAATAAAATCTTAAAAAAAAAAAAGCCTAAGAAGGCTATCTCTTCTATAGTCAGATAAGAAGTATTTCAAGAGAGGATAACTGTTTATATAATCATTAATATATTATACATATGTTATACAAAGATATATATTACTATCGACATCATATAATGTCTAAAAGTGATCACTACGCCAATAGATTATTAAATGATAACTGTGCCAATAGTAGGTTAAAATGAACTGAGAAACTCTTTAGCAGAATGTGATTCTTTCTTCACACAACTGTGGGGATATTGGCTTGGATACATGGACAACCAAGCAACTCCCAAAAATGGGCATCTATAAGGTCTAATACGCTGAGGCCTTTCTTCCACCTCCCAAAGGTAGATAAACCAGATATGGCAGCCACACTTGGTCTCAGTAATTTGGCCATTTTGAAACTGGATTCCCTTCCAACATACACTCCTTTCCTGCCATCTCATGTCCAAGTAAAATGTCATCAACTACAAATTACCATGGACAGGCTCTCACTGTGGAATCAGAGGCCTGTGTGGGTCACTCAGAGAAGACATCTTACAAAAGGGTTGTATAAAAAGAAGTGTAGATATATAGAGAGAAGGGTCAGACATGTTGTATTTCTATAGACAAAATCATTAAACAGAAACACAAAAGAATTTGTTTAATAATAAAGTGGCCTTTTGAGGTTTGAAGTTTTATTATTTTTAGAAAAAAGAGAAAATTTACAAGATGCAAAGGTCTCACACAATACATTATCATTGATGATTGTTCTCTTTACACCTGAACATGGGTCCTGGTTTGGCCAGTGTTGGAAAGAACATGGACAGCATGAATGCATTTGAGACCCATCATGGACACGCAGAAATAAACCACAGTGTAAAAGGAGAAGTCGATGACAAATGATGTTGGGCCAGCCTGTTCCAAAAGCAAGCCAACACATCGTAGGAACCAACAATGCCTTCCTGAGGAGGACGCGCAGGTGTATGCCCTGCTGCCATGTGCAGGGGCACATCCCCTGCACTGGCAGCACTTGCTTCCTCTATTAGATCATAGCAACAACAAAATGGTAACATTCCTTTGGTGTTTTTTTGCATGACTCTTCAGGTTCCCAATTTCTTATTTCTGCCTTCCTTTTCATGATTCAGTTCCAAATTCTTAAAGCAGGGTACATGCTTAGCAACTTTCATGAATTTTTCAGGATCCAATTGTGCCCAATGATAATGCACTAAAAAGGACAAAGATAAGATATATTACTCAAAAAGGTCCCAAAAATTTCCTTCAAATCCTATTAAAAATATGACCAAGCATAACAAACTAGCTAAAGAAACCACCCTTTTTCAATTCATACAATGCCAATAGCATGACAGTGTTTCACTTTACTGTGAAAAATCTTCCATGTTGTCATGTGTTAATTCAAATGCCCTCTCAAAACATTTCCAATTATTAGAAATTTATTCTTAAAACTCAAAAAGACACCAAACCAAATTAAACAATGCACTTCTAAATGGCCTCTGCAGGAAAGGGATGTTACAAGGAAAATTAGAAAACATTTCAAAGTGAACGAAAATGAAAATACAATATAGAAAAACTGTAATATTCGCCTTAGGCAGTGCTTACAGGGAAATCACAGCATTAGATGCTGATATTATAAAAGAAGAAAACTGTAAAATCAATAATCTGAGTTTTCACCTTAAGGAACTAAAAGAATAAAAGCAAAACAAACCCAAAACAAACAAGTAGGGGAAAAATAAAGACAAGAACAGAAAAAAATGAAATTACAAACAGAAAAACAGAACAGAAAATAAATAAAAAGATCAAGAAGACTGATAAACTTACCAAGAAAAAAGAAGACACAAGTTATAAATATCAGGAATCAAAGAGGCAATGTAAGGACAAATTTTACAGATATTAAAAGGACAAAAAGGGTGTATCACAAACAACTTTATACCCATAAATTAGACAACATAGATGGGCAAATTCCTTGAAAAAAGATACAAGGCCTCATTTCCAAATCCTTTTAACAATAATGAAGGCAGGGGTGGGGGGGGGCGGAGACTAAAGAAAGCATAGGGATTGGGAATAAACAAAATGCTTGTTCTTGGGATATTGTCAATACTGCTCAAAGGATGATAGATTTTTCAGTATAAAATGTCCAAGTGTCTCGAGTTTCCCTCTGTAATTCCAAGGTTACTACAAAAACCAGTGGGTCTTGCCAAGATTTGTGAGGCAAGCATATGTCATCTGAGAGTTTAAATCCCAAATTTAAAGCAGTTTCTATTCCCTCAGATATAAATTCTAATTGAAGTTCCTGGTAGTTCCAGTCAAGACATCAGAGTAGGTAAACACTGTGCTCACCTCCTCTCAGGACAACATCAAAATTACAATGAAATTACAGAACAACCATCATTGAGAATCGCTTGAAGAATAGCTGAACTGAAGTCCTATAACTAAGGATATATAAGAGAAGCCATGTCAATACTGGTAGGAGGGGCAGAGACATGGAATGAGCTGGCCCCACACCCACATACGGTAGTTAAAAATTAGAAGGGATATCTCATCTGCAGAGGTGCCCCCTAAGGAGTGAAGGGTTCCAGGCCCATACCAAAGGCTCCCAAGCCCAAGGTTCCAGTGCCAGGAAGAGAAATCCCTAAAACTTCTGGCTGTGAAAACCAGCAGATTGTGGCTGAGTGAGGTAGAGGGTTGCTGGAATCCCAGGAGTTCCTCTTAAAGGGCCTGAGCATGGACTCACTTGCAATATGGACTCACTTGCTCCGAGGTCCAATGCTGGGGCAGGAGCTCGAAAAGTGCCAAGGAAATAAGTAGAGAAGCTGAATTATCTGGCTTTAGGGCAAGAGCTGGGAGAGGAGCGGGGTGGGTAGCTGGCAGGCACCATTGTTCAGTGTTTGAGCCCTCCCCTTACGGAGCTGGTAGGTGGGCCCCATTGTTCTGCTACTGACACTCCCCCCACCCAGCCTGCAGGTGGGGGTGGGCACCAAGTCTGAGTCTCCATCAACCTAGCTAACACTGTTTGCCCCTCCCTGGTGATTCCCTGAGACCCCACCCCACCAACCTTTGTTCCTGCCCAAGCCTCTTCCAGCAGCTTTTCCAGACAAACAACCTATCTCAGCTTATGTTGCAGACTTTTCAAAACTTTGTCAAAGGTTCACAACCATTCCCCTGCAAAAAAAGCAGCATGCTTCTCAGTGTGCTCCATACCTCTTGCTAAGTGGCCCCAAGCCTGGCACTATTGGTAGCCAACCTGTTTGCAGCTTAACCTCTTCTAGGCACCTCCATGCCCACCACAAGTCGCAACCATCTGCAGATCACTTTGTAGCTCCTACCAGGTAGCCCCAGGCTGGGGCAGGCAGTGGCTAGCTTTGGCCTCCACCAGAGCTCCTCCTAAGAGGTCCTACAACCAACACACCAGAAGGTCGGCTTCAGATCACACCAGAAATACCACCCAACCACCTCCACAAACAACACACCCAAAAGGCAGACTCGACAGGCACCAGATCGCAACTAAAGCAAATCCTACTCTGTGGCGTCAACTCCTGCACAAGAGCTCCTCCACTGTAGTCATGGCCAATCCTCACAGCCAATCAGTCTGAGAGTCAATCCCTCCCAACAGCAATCAAGGCTCAACTACAACAAAAGGGCACACACAACCCAAACAAGGGACATGCCTGGAACACCCAGCTTAGGTGACAAGGGAGACTGCATCACTGGGCCTCACAGGATACCTACTATATAAGGTCACTCTACCAAGACTGGGAGATGTAACAGATCTATGTACATAATAAACAGAAACAAACACATGGAGGTAGCCAAAATAAGGAGACAAAGAAACAGGTCCCAGATGAAAGAACAGGATAAAACTCTAGAAAAAGAAATAAACAAAATGGAGACAAGTAATCTACCAGATACAGAGTTCAAAACATTGGTTATAAGGATGCTCAATGAACTTAGGGGAAGAGTAGATGAACTCAGTGAGAATTACAGCAAAGAGGAAACATAAAAATGGAGATAGAAAACATAAAAATAATTATTCAGAAATGAAGGCTATAATAACAGAAATGAAGAATACATTAGAGGGAATCAACAGTAGATTAGATAAAGCACAGGATCAAATCTGAGATTTGGAAGACAAGGTTGCAGAAAACACCCAGTCAGAACAGCAAACAGAAAAAAGAATCCTAAAACATGAGGTGAGTTTAAGGGGCCTCTGGGAAAACATCAAGAGTACCCACATTTGCATCATAGGGGTACCAGGAGAAGAGAGAGAGCAAGGAACTGAAAACCTATTTGAAGAAATAATGATGGTAAACTTCCCTAACTTGGTAAAGGAAAGAGACATACAAGGCCAGGAAATGCAGAGAATCCCAAACAGGCCAACACCAAAAAGGCCAACACCAAGGCACGTTATAATTAAAATTTCAAGACAGTTAAGACAAAGGGAATTTTAAAAGGAGTAAGAGAAAAGCAGTTAGTTATTAACAAGGGAGCTCCAGTAATACTGTCAGCTGATTTTTCAACAGAAACTTTGCAAACCAGATGGGATTAGCAGGAAATATTGAAAGTGATGAATTGCAAGGACCTACAACCAAGATTACTCTGCCCAGCAAAGCTGTCATTTAGAATCAAAGGAGAAATAAAGAGCTTCCCAGACAAGAGAAAGATAAAGGAGTTTATCACCATCAAACCAGCATTACAAGGAATGTCAAAGGAACAAAAAAAAGGAGGAGGAGGAGACTAGGTAACTATTGGGTTGTCAGAAATGTCATGACTTATTTTTTCTGTTTTTCGTTGCAAAAATGCGTCATGACTTTTCCGACAACTCAATACATACCTATCAATAATTACTTTAAATGTAAATGGATTAAATGCTCCAAACAAAAGCCAAATGGATAAAAGATAAAGAAGATGTAGTACATATCTATAAGGGACTATTAATCAGCCATAAAAAAGAGAATGAAATCTTACCATTTACAACAACATGGATAAACCCAGAGGGTATGCTGTTAAGTGAAATAAGTCAGAAAAGGACAAATACCATATAATTTCATTTATATGTGGATTCTAAAAAACAACATAAACAAAACAGAAACAAATTCATCGATACAGAGAACAAACTGATGGTTGCCAGATGGCAGGGACGATGGGGGACTGGGTGAAAAAGGGGAAGGAATTAAGAAATACAAATTGACAGTTACAAAAGTCATGGGGATGCAAAGTAAAGCATATGGAATATAGTCAATATTGTAATAACTATACATGGTGTCAGATAGGTGCAAGACTTATCAGGGAATCACTTCAAAAATTATGTAAGTGTCTAACCCTATGCTATACACCTGAAACTAATATAATTTTGAATGTCAACTGTAATCAAAAGATGCTTTTAAATTTAAATTTTTAAATAATAAAGGAACAAAATTAAAAAAAGAAAAACAACCCATTTGCTCCTATATTTTAATTAAGATGTTTACCCAAACTTAAGATCTTGAGGTCTATTAATACCTTTCTCCTACGTGCAATACTAATATCTGAAATCCAGAAATTGGTTTTCATATTGACCTTTGGGAATTCCATCTTCTTGGTATAAATAAAACCCTTTGTTTTTGAACTCAAAATGAGCTTTGGGATTCTGCTTGAATATATTCTTCTTTTAC